GGCCTTTAGGAAAGGCTCCTGTCACAGAGAGGTGAGAGGCTGGCGTCCACAGCATGGTCAGAGCCTTGGCCCAAGGACCCTACCTGCTAGGTCTGTTATGGGTGGAGTGGAAACCTGGAGTATGAGGAGGAGAAGAAATGGGAGAGGACGGGGCCCAGGCAAGCATCCTGCAGTGTTTGGGGCAGGCTGACACTCACGTTTATGGGAGTAGATCTTACCCTCAAGTGTATATTGCCCAACTCCCCTGGGACCTTTCCTGGTCTGGATGGTGGACTGTGGGCCAGATACTTGTCTTCCTCTTGTAGGACCTGGCACAGAATGAGCACCAGCAAAGGTGTGCTGAGGAGTGGGACATCTGAGGGCAGGAATGCCAGCTGGTTCTAGCCTCTCCCTGGGTCCTCTTCCTAGGCCTTTGGAGGATGTGTGTGAAGGGTGGGAGGTGGCAGAGAGTGTGAGAGGACTCTCGAGTTTGAATTCAAGAGCCTACATGGAAGAGAGGAAAGACAAATCAAAAAAAGAAAAAAAAAAAACAAAAAACACTGGAGAATTTAACCCTCAGAAAGCAGAGCCAGTACCTTGGTGGCTGGTGTGTTTCTGTTACCATTGGTGGGCTGTGGTGGAGAGCCTCCTGCCGGCTAGGCAAGGCCTCCACCACTGAGCTACAGGTCCAGCTCTTGTTCTGTTTTGTTTTTATAAATAAAATTTGATTGATTATGCACACACACACACACACACACACACACACACACACACACACACACGTGCGCGCGTGTCCGCGCACGCGCAAAGTACTGCTCACTAAGCCACCAATTCATTGTCCAATAATCATTGCCCACAATGCTGTCACCATTGCCTACATCCAAAACCTTTTCACACACCCCTCCAGCAGAAATTCTTCCCCATTAATCAAAAACTCCCTTTTGCAGTGAACTCCTGTTCTTATTGCCTTTGAATCTGCCTATCCTGGGCCCCTCATTTATGGGGAGTCCCACTATACTTGTTCCTCTGGGCCTGTCTTCTTTTTCTCAGCATGATATTTTTTTTTTAAGATTTATTTATTCGTGTATTTTATGTATATGAGTGATCTGTCTTCATGCACACCAGAAGAAGGAATCTGATCCCATTACAGGTGGTTGGGAGCCACCATGTGGTTGCTGGGAATTGAACTCAGGACCTCTGGAAGAGCAGCCAGTGCTCTTAACCACTGAGCCATCTCTCCAGCCCCAGCATAATATTTTCAAGGTCTGGCTATGGAGCGGCTTATTTCAGCACCTCTGTTCACGGCTGAATGATATTCCCCTGGAGATCTCAGCCATGCTTTATCTGTTTGCGGATGGACAGTTGGGCAGCATCCACCTCTCGGCTGTTGTGAATAGTGCCTCTGTGATCATGGATGTTCAGGGGTCTGAGTCTCTGCTTTGACCCTTTTCTAGTGTATCCTAGCAGTGGAACTTCTGGTCACGTGACAGTTCAGTATGTGACTTTTTAAGCAGTTCTCCATAGTGGCTGCACTATATTATGCTTGCTTTTATTTGTTTTTTGTTTGTTTACTTTTAATTGTTTTATTTCCCCCATGTGTTATACTTAGGTGCATTTTTTCATGTGTGCATACTTGTATACTCATGTGTGCATGCGTGTGTGTGTGTGTGTGTGTGTGTGTGTGTGTGTGTGTGTGTGTGT